ATTCTCACTTTTATTCATTTTATGTTGTTTTAAAAAAAAAATTTTATTATTTCATAAATGAAATAATAAATAAAAGTAGTGTGCTCTAGTGTCTGTCTGTCCGTGAATAATAATAAAAAATATATAACCACAAAAAAAATGTAAATTATTAAAAGTAATTCATTTCATTTAATATTATTATACTTCTAAAACATTTCACTTTTTAGCGTAATTAATTGTTAAATTCATTTTAAATTATTTCACTTGTTGCACAATGCGTCAAGTAATTCGTGCGAACGTAAATGAAAGTATAAAAGGCTTAAAGAGGTTAAAGCCCTGCTCAGCATTTGTCTCAGCACTTTTTTGTTGGGTATATGGCTTCGGTGTGGAAATAAATGAAAATAAATAAACATTAAACATTACTTATCATCGACTTTGTTATTAATATTGTTGGGCGTAAATTGAAATTGAAAAGTTGTGAATGTTAAATAAATGTTTAAAATGAGTTAAATGAAACTAAAAAAATATGTATATATTTATATATATGTACCTAATATATATATATATATACTTAAATTTTAGCAGGTGTGGCGTGTGGCTTGTGTTGCACGTGAATTCTTTTATTTTTTCTACTATTAAACCCACTTTATTAGTAATGCAAATAACGTTATAGAGAGTTAAAGAGATATAGCGTTGAAATTTATTAAGAGTTATTGAGATATGACATTGAAACCTTAAAACATTGAAACTTATCGCGTTATACTGTTGAAATTTTAAAATTTATTAAAAATATTATTAAGATATAGTGTTACAATGCTATAACTCATTTAAAATTACTGAGATATGGTGTTGAAATGTTCAGAAGTATTAAAAATGATCGAGATTTGGCATAGTAATTTAAAAACTTGTTAAAAATGTTTAAAATATGGCAATGAATCTTAAAATTGATCTAAAGTTATCGAGTTATGGCGTTGAACTTTTAAAAATTTGCTTAAAGTTATTAAAATATGGTTTTATGGATTGAGATATGACATTGAAACCTTAAAACATTGAAACTTATCAAGTTGTACTGTTGAAATTTAAAAAAATTATTTAAAATTTTAAAGATATATTGTTAAGGTGCTTAAGGTGTAATAAAATATATTGTTAAGGTGTTAAGGTGTTTATACATGCAATTCGATATAAATGTATTTGACTATATGACAAATTCATTTTTTAAAAGTCAATTCAATAATTATACTACGTTTACACTAGCGCATTTAACTCAACAAATTTTCAGTGAGGTGTGATAATTGTAAGTGTAAACACAGTATTAGAGATAACATTTTCAGATTAAGTATGGCACAACTTTATAAGAAGTTGGGTGTTTCAAATATTTTTAGAATATGTTTACAATTATAACTTAATTAATAAATTATGTTCATATTATACATAAACTATTCTTGTAAAATATAGTCTCGAAAGACGCTATTATTAATAATATTACTAAATAACTTTTATAAATTTGATTTTGGTATTCATTTACTTACTGTGATTTTAATCCTTCTATAATAGCATATTTAGAATAGTTGTCTCTAGTTGTCTATAGTTCCATTCCAAACAGTTCAATCAAAAGCCTTTAAATCAATGTTTTCACAAAAATAAAAACAAAAACTTTAATTTTCGACTATTAATTTACTGCATTGCAAAGGAAAAGAAGCTGTAACAATTGAAACGTTCTTATTTTAATACGAAAGTGTAAAAAATTAATTTATTTATTTCATTTTTTGTTTTGTATTTCTAATGTCTGTTGAAAATTTCATTTTAATTTACTAAGGTAAACTGATAAATTTATTCACAGTTGATTATTTATAGATACATATGTTGAATTATTGATTTAAGTTTACTAGAGTAGTTTGATAAATTTACTCACAGAAGTTTATATTTGTACTATATATAATATTATATATAGTATATATTCGTAGTATAGTTTTATTTATTTAGTTGGATTTCATAGACATGTTTCATCCTTGTTTATATCCCGTAAACTCCGCCTACTAGCCCGCTTAGCAGTTTCATTCAGTTGTACCGATTGATGTCAGATCGTTTCTGATCTAATCCCTTCTTCGTAGATTTTAACCTTCCCTACAACAGTTCCTACCAGTGTGTACCAAAACAAACCACAGATTTCGCTGATTTTCAATACGCTATGCCAATCTCATATATTACACTGTTCTTCATTCTATTTAATTCGATATTCAAATAGTCTTTCAGTTTTTGAGATAGTCAAATGACTATTTTAACATAGGCTTTTATTTGGTAACTATATCTATCTATCAATAACTGTCAGAACAATCCAAATTGATTTTTTTCTTAGTGATTACTTATAAAGTGAATAAGTTGGTATCTCGACTGTAATACATTTGAAAAATATTTATTACAAAATTTGAAATTACTTTCAAACCGATTTTAATTTGAATACATCAGCAAAATGTTTTAGATTAAAGTTGTAGATATAGTTAATACCAAAGATGGTTTCAAAAAGATATTAAAAGGATTGCAGACGAAATCAGTTGCAAGAGAAAGAGACAGCTACTTTCTCTCCTAATAAAGTAGGAGAGAGAGATTTGCAGCTATTGGACAGAGTAATAAAATCAATAAATAAATTTTCATTGCAATATCAAAATTGTTGATTGTCAAGATTGTGCAGGTTCTCAGGTGTCTATATCACTTCTACCATATCACTTCTTGATCCAAATTAATTTTGATAGCATTAAAAAATTATCAAATGATAGCTTTAAACGATAAAAAAACCAAAACTTAATTTTATATTAAGTCTTAATAGCCGATGCTAGCATTTCTGGTAGCTTTATCTAGTAATTATCTCTATAAATATCGTTTAAATTGACTTCCTCCTCACGTACAACTGACATTTTATGAAAAACATAAAATGGAACTATTTATAAACGAAGAGTAATCTGTTCACAGATTTTGTTATAAAGAATAAATGATTTTCTTTTTTGGTCTATTGTAGTAGTACCGTGGTATAATTCCTTTATATTTTTGAGCATTATGATCTTCTTTCCGAGGCACAAGAAATAGATCATAAAAATGAATCTAATAAGATGACAAAATAATTGATTTTAGAATGTTTTTTCGATTCCTTTACAATCAACTTTATTGTTTCTTTTTCAAGGTACTGTTAGCGGTGGAATGTAATAAATAATACAGTTATTCAAACTCTGGTTTAGTTCAGACATATATATATATATATATATATATATATATATATATATATAAAGAACCATTTAGGATTCTGAAGAAATAATCATTCAGGTTTCTTTAAAAATAATCATTGGATTCTTAAAAGAGATTCATTTAAGATTCTTTAAAAGCAATTATTTAGAATTCTCTTTAAGAATCTTAAAAAAGAATTATTTGGGAACACTAAAAAGAAATCATTTAGGATTCTTAAAAAAGAATCATTTGGAATTTTTAAATGAGAATAATTTTTGATTTTAAAAGACAATCATTTAAGATTTTTTAAAAATAATTATTTAAAATTCTTTTTAAGAATCACTTAAAATTCTTTTTAAGAATCATTTAAAATTATTTTTAAGAATCTTTAAAAAGGATTATTTGGAAATGATAAAAAAGGAATTATTTAGGATTCTTGAAAAAGAATCATTTTGGATTTTTAAAAGAGAATAATTTTTGGTTTCAAAAGACAAACAGTTAGGATTCTCTTTTAAGAATCATTTAGGATTTTTTTTAAAATTCATATCGGTTTCTTTTTCAAGAATCATTTAGAATTCTTAAAAAATAGTCATTTAGTAGTCTTGAAAAAGAATCGTTTAGGTTTCTTTTTTTCAAAGTGCACATTTTTTGATTGACTGGAAGTGTTAGTTTCGCGTGCCAGTTTTTTTATATATTAATAACTTTTTTAAAGCAATAAAGACCTTTGCAAATTTGAAAAAAATTTTCAAAATTTTATTTATATTATTTATTTATATTTTTATTTATATTGGAGCTTAAATAAAAACCAGTATACTTCAGTTAAAAATTTCTTACTAGTCTAAATGATTGTGTCTTCAATTTATTCTTCAATGTTTATAAAGTGAGTGCAAATGACTCAAAGAGCAGGCAGCTTCTTAGTAATAAGTTTATAATTTGCTTGTGTTAAAAAATTAATATTAAAAAATATTGTTTATAACAATAACAAAGGAAAACATAATGTGTTAATGTGTACACACCACTTAGAATAGCAAAAGAAAACACATTTTCATTGTATTTTGTGATATTTTCTGACTTTCGCCTGACTGTTGTGCAGGCCAGGCCTCATTTGGTTTTCTCAATTTCAACACGACAATTATAGTGAATAATGAGAAAAGTTAGCAGCAAAACATCTATGGCTTCCCTTTTGCAGTCTCGGTTAAGATTCGGTTAGGATTGAATGGGTTAAGTATCATGCATTTGGCTCGCTGGCAAATGTCTTCATAAATTTATTGAAAAGAATTTTTCGTGACTAATTTTACTCTGCCAACATTTTGTGTGAGAAAGCCAGAACAGAAGTAGTTCAAGTTTAAATACTGGGTACAAATCGTCTTTGTTTGTCACAGTAATTAAATTTGTTAATAACAATTGTAGAGCAACCAACTCTTTAACGAGTAGCTGTTTTTCTCTGACCTTAGACTCTTTCAAGTGTTGTGTCTGTGTTAAGTTATAGAAATACGAAATATGTGAAATACGAGTATGTGGTATATATACAGATATGAATTAATAAACATAAAATCATATTTATTTGTTTAAATGTAACATAACAGTTGAAAAGGTTAATCAGCACATCAGCACATACGAAGTTCCACAAGACAGAAGCTCGAATAATTGCTTAACTCAATTATTCAATTAATAACTCGTTATGTACGAGATGTTTTATCATGACCTAGGCAATTCCAATAGATATAAGCTAATTGTTTTTTTTGTCTTTCATTTTTTACTGACTGCACATAATAATATAATTTTTTTCAATTTTATTTTTACAGTTGAATTCGAATAAACCGGAGCCAGTGCCAGCATTTCTTCCCGTTCATTTAAATAATAAGCCAATTTGTGACGATATTATAAGAAAGTTTTCTCCATCGCGACGTTTGGAATCTCGTGAATTAGCAAAACTATTAGCTCAGCCACATTTTAGAGTAAGTACAAACCATGCCCATTACGATTTAAAAAGTTACACATTAAATTATTTTTAATTCTAGGCGCTTATTCGTGCACATGATGAAATAGGTTATTTGTACGAGAATCGTTTAAAAGCCGCTGGTGGATCTATTGTTAAATTGGAAACAATATCACAACGTAAAAGTAGTTATCTTTTTCCTCCGGAAATACTTAAAACCAAAATGCCCGTAGAGACAATAAAAATGGTTGGACTACGGCGCGATCCAAATCAGCCGCTTGGATTAACTGTTGAAGTTGATGAACATAAGCAGTTAGTAGTAGCACGTATATTGGCTGGTGGTGTTATAGACAAGCAGGGTCTCTTACATCCTGGTGATGTGATACTTGAAGTCAATGGCTCACCTGTTCATACGCCTGAAGAGCTACAGGTTGAAGTATCGCGAGCGAAAGAAAATTTAACATTGAAAATTGGTCCAAATGTGGAAGAAGAAATAAAATCAGCGCGCCTTACATTAGGTGGACAGGTAAAACAAAATGGAATCTCAAATATTGAAACGGGTAAAAAACTAACGGTAAGTTGTGTTAGCAATGTCTGTGTGTTTGTAGATAAATTTGTATTATATTAAGTTATTTACATTTAAATTTATAAATAAATTTATTTTATAATTTATTTAACTAACTGCATATAATTAAGTAAAAATTTATATAAATATAAATGACAAAAGCAACCACGAGTGTAATGATAGTAATAATGTTAGTATTATTATACTTATTTACTTACTTATTTACTTACTTATTTACTTACTTATTTAGTTGGCCATTACAAACGTGAGTCGTTCTTGGCCGCGTCGAGTAACCTCCGCTAGCCAGTCCGCTTAGTTGCTTGCTGTCGCCAGTTGATAGTAACGAACGCCCCCAAATCGTTGGTCACCTGGGCCTTCCATCGAAGATGCGGACGTTCTCTACCGCGTTTTTCACCGAATCATACACCTTTCTAGCCGGAGCACTTAGTTTCATTATAATAACAACAATAATTTTCGTTGTATTAACACAAATTTCAGCCGTGTCAGTATATGACTTAACTCCATTGTGGTAGCAAGATTTCTTCAACTTGCCACAACCTGATTTGGTTGTTGCTGTTTGGTAGCCCGCTATGAAAAATGTTAATACATACATGCTTGTAAAATCCCTTTGGCGTGGTAAACGACACTTCGTCGTTGTCATTGATGAGTGGCTCCGGGACGTAAACCACCCAGTCGGTTTTGGAATTACCTGGCTTGGTAGTTAGCTCTAGTGATATGTCAGCAGGTATTTTCCACTTCTCCTTATATAAACAATTATTCAACATTTTACTACGACTTTTTGCGGATACAAGCTAGTTTTAGGTCACTATATAGAGTGCTTCGAGGCTCTTTGTAGTGTGCTTTGTAGCTATACTACTAGACAGAGCTACGAAGCATTTTTTTTTTAATTTGTTAAAGTATATTTTTAGACTAGATCTTAGTAGAATCTGTTCAACTATTTTCGCCTTGTTGTTATGAATAATTATATGACATCCTTTTAACTCTACATAAAAGTTGTTAGATCTCGGGCCTCCGAATCTGCCCTAGTCTTTATGTGGCAATTGTTATTTCCACCAAGAACCAGATGTTTTGGAGCAGTTATACCGCTGAACTCTCGTTCGCCATTGCCTCATATGTTTAAAACAGGGGTCACTACGAGAAGGTTGAGGATGACATTTGTGTAGAGAGGCTTTTTAAGAGGCATATTTTATATACAATGTAAAAAAATTTTAATTCATATATAACATTATTTTTTATTTAATATGTTGATTTTGACTTGTAAATATTGCTTACATTATTAGACTTGAAATGTAAGCAATTTAGCATGCATTATTGGTATCTATGAGAGAGATACTACCAAATACCACAATTAAAACATAATGTGATTTTTATAATTTGTTGAATTTGTTAAATAAACTTTAATTTATAATTTTAAAATATTACTGTTAAAAAAAAGCTTCAATAAATTAATATAAATTGTCTCAAACAAATAAGTTTAATATTTACAATAAAAACTTTTTGTACCATACTTTTTCATACTTTGATCATTCATTTATCTGAAATGCTATATAAAAGTAATTTTTTTATAATACAGTAAACTCACTGTTTAACAAATACTTGATATAAGAAAATCTCTAAACGACAAATATCTTAAAAACCTTTCCATTAAGGAGTAAATGTTGCCAATAAAATGTATATAAATTAATTAAAGGCCTCTTAACATTATATCTTTTGTTATACAGAGAGTCTACTGTAGTTTTACAATTCTACTTATTGATTTTATTTTAATATTAAGTTTATTGTTAAGATTGCGATAATTAATAAGTTACATTATTTTGCGTTCCTTTTTCTGTGTCTAAGCTTCTTAAAATTTAAATATAAAAAAAGCATTTTATATATATTTTATAAATCGATATATATATATACGTTTATATCAAGTTGTTCATACTTCATATAATTAGTAGTTAGAATTTCCAAATTGATTTCTGTATATATATATATATATTATAAACGCAAGTTATATTCATATATCCAGTATAAACAAAAGCAGATAATGTAACTAAGTAAGTAAGATACAATTTGTGTAATAAGATATGTACTTTATTTAAATATATATATATTTAAAAATAAATAAAAAAAATTAAACAATATTTTCATTTTATTTAAATTTAGTGTTATATGCGTGCTTTATTTACTTACAACCCATCCGAAGATTCATTGTTGCCATGTAAAGATATTGGTCTCGCGTTTAAGTCCGGAGATATTTTGCAAGTAAGTTTCAACATGCAATGCTATCTTTCTATTCATTCAATCTACTATTAATATATTTTAAATAATTTTAAAGATTATTAATGTGAAAGATCCAAATTGGTGGCAAGCAAAAAATATAACTCTAGGAACGCCTCAGATTGGTTTAGTACCATCACAAGAATTAGAGGAAAGAAGGAAAGCATTTGTAGCTCCCGAAGCTGATTATGTACACAAAATAGGTATTTGTGGTACAAGGGTAAGTGTTACAAATAATTATTTAAATATTATAAAATGTTATTTATAAAAATATTATAAAATATTATACATAAAAAAAATTTTATATATTCTGTAGATCTCAAAACGAAAGCGTAAAACTATGTATCGTTCGGTTGCTAATTGTGAATTTGATAAAGCGGATTTAATGTTATATGAAGAGGTTACTCGCATGCCACCATTTCGTAGGAAAACTTTAGTGTTAATTGGTGTCTCAGGTGTAGGCCGACGTACTCTCAAAAATCGTTTGGTAAATAGTGACCCAGATCGTTTCGGTGTTGTTATTCCACGTAAGTAAAGATGCAATAAAAATAAGAGCTTAATAAAGATTTTAGACTACTAGTAGTATATAACTTTATAAAATTTATTTATTTAATGTTGAATTATAATATATTTATGACGCTGTATATATGAATTATAATATATATAATGTACAAATTCTTTAAAATACTTACTTAATTTTATCGAAATATTTAGTTATAACAATCAAAATGTATCATTGAGTAGAGAAATACTTTTAAAAATATATAAGAGTAGAATAATGAATTATACAATCGTGGAAACCCTATGCTCCACTAGCAGAATATGAGATAATAGAAGAAGAAGAATAAATTATACAATTATTGCATTATTGTATGAATTGTTGCTTATACAATTGCAACAATGCATAGTGATTTATGGAATATAAATTGATTGCTAAGTAATGGATCTATTCCAAAAGTCTATAGCAATTTAAATAGTTTATTCATGTTATTTTATTTGTCTAAAAATATAAGCCACAGCAATGTTATAAGTATCCGTTTTATAATTTAGTCTCTTACTAATTCGAATTTTAAAAAACTGTCTCTTTCTTAATGTAAGATCTTTACATGGTCAAGATCAGGTTTATGTTTGCAGTCAATACAATGTACAGCCAATGTTATATTGGCTTCAGCAACACTTTTACAATGTTATATTGGCTTCAGCAACACCTTTACAATTCAGCTAGTATTTTAATAATATATAATTTGTTTTAAATATAAATAATAAGTTATTGTTTTTTTAATTTCTATTTAAATGACCAATTTGCCCGCTAATAAATTATTATAGTTTATTCATATTTAAATGTTGACAGACTTCACAATAATATTGACAGGTTCCATAAAAATGTCGATAGGTTTCCTATTATAAATATATCTAAATTAAGATTAATCAGTGATTACTTAACTAAACACGAACGTAAAGGTAATATCCTTTAAATATAAGAATGGAACCTCATATCTGCAGATTCTATGAAATATATTCCAATAATAGAACTGCTTGCGTCCTGCGTTTGCTAGAATATGAGATCGGTGCCTTTATGTGATTTTTGTTAAACCAAATAGTGATATTATATACCTGCTTTTGTTGTTGATGTTGTAATCAGTACACATCTGCCGCTATACTCTCTTTTGAAAATGTTAACCTATACTAGTTCGTCCAACTCAACTATTAGGTGCGGCCACTCTTGGTAGGTAGTAATACCTATGCCTATTTTCTATTTTTCCACTTAGAGTATACTGTCCTCATACTCCTCGCAATGTGTAGTATCTAAATAGTATAAATACATGTATATATTAACTGTACACACCACAATACTTATGTTATAGAAGCCCATCGAATTCTGGAAAGCAAGGACATCAAACGATGTTACGATATATGCAAAAGGAATAGTAATAAAAACAAGAATAAAAAAGTATCTATCACAATTATGGTCTTAATATGTATTTTACAAAATAAAAATAAATATTATAAATAAATATAAATAAATATTATAAATATAAGAAATAAATATTATAAATATAATAAAAAAATATAAATATTAATATTAATATTATATATTCCATTTATAAAATAAAAAAATAAATAGTTATGATTTTTAATTTTAGATACAACGCGTCCGAAAAGAGCACTTGAAGAGAATGGTGTAACTTATTGGTTTACCGATAGAGAAGAAATGGAAGAAGAAATTAAAATGAACAAATTTTTGGAATATGGTGAACATAATGGTAATCTATATGGGACTCATTTGCAATCAATAAAAGATGTTATCAATAATGGCAAGTATAAATAATTTATATATTTTATACCTAACATATTATATTTTATATATATATTATTTTTAGGGCGTATGTGTGTTCTAGATTGTGCTCCAAATGCATTAAAAATTTTACATAATAGCCAAGAATTGATGCCATTTGTTATTTTTATTGGCGCGCCAGGCATGGAGCAGTTGAAAACGATTTATGCAGAACGTCGTGCTACTGGATCTAACAAAAACTTAACTGTAAGACTAATAAAAACTTTTATAATAGTATTATGGTTTAGTTAGTTAAAATATATGCCAAGTAGTTGGCTTAAAAATAATAAGGTATCGGTTAAGGCGTCCTTCCTCAGTAGAACAAAGTTGAGGTTGTTAGCAGTTATCTGATTGGTCGTTATACTCTGTGTTACTATATTAACAAAATGGATCTCTCTAAGGAGATAGAATATGTATATGTGCCGTGTGTGAAGGTTAGAGAGATCTCTAGTTACATTCTTTGTGACTTTTGGAATTTGATATAGCTGAGGCTATATCTGTCTTCATTCATTGACTTTCATTTGAAGATCTTCTTCTGTCTTCTGTTTAGTTATAAAAGATTTACCATGATTGCAGTGCCGTGCTCTCTTATAAAGCCGGCCATTATACTGTATTGAAATATTACGTGTTGGTCTTATAACTTCAGTATTTATTTATCTTTAATCAAATTAAAAACGAAAAAGTTATCTGTTGTTTTAATCATTTGAAAATAACTATTAAATTATGTTCCTAGTAATATTAAAACTAACCTCCTGTAATTTTTAAATTTTAGTTTGATCGTCAAAGCTCTATACGTTATAGTTCAAGACGTGCACGTACACTGGAATCTCTTGCTTCTTTATATGAGGTAATATATTAAATTATTTGTATATTTATTTGAAAGTATGTTTTAAAATTTAATTTATTCATTAGGATGATGATCTTATTGCCACTGTGGAAGAAAGTGCATTTGTCCAAAGAAAATATGAAAAATATTTTGATATGGTGATCATTAATGAAGATTTCGATGAAACTTTCCGTCAAGTAGTGGAAACTTTAGATCAAATGAGTCACGAAGAACAGTGGGTACCAGTAAACTGGATTTACTAATTTCACGACAAAATAAAAATAAATAAATAGATAGATAGTTATATATATATACATATATATTTATTGTTATACCTATATACTTTACAATATGATGAAAAACGTATAAACTATTTTATGACTATTGCTTCCTGTATTTGCTCTTGATGGTAAGCCTTCGATGTACACGAGCGTTTCACAAGTGTTCTTATTTAACGAAATCACAAAATTCAGATTTTTAAAAACAAATTATAGGAAAATATAAATATATTATATTATATATTATTATATTATAATAAATAATAATGCTGCGAATAATGTATACATAAATGTACATTATATATGTATAATTTTAAATGTTTTATATTTTAATTTGATTTTTAAATTAGTGGTGTCTATAAACACAAATATATAAATATATATGTGTATTTACAAGTTTGTTGTATATGTTTAATTAAGTAAAATTCATTTTCAAACAAATTATTAGATAATATGAATAATTAATTTAATATGTCTTTATATTATTGTTAATCATTGTTTTTATTTTATTTAAAAAAAGAAAAATTCAACGAATTGTAACACCGCTAATTTAAATTTCTATCTTTATTAATTTTTATGATCAACGAACCTTTAAGTTTTTAGGTATTTTTATAATAACATTGTTTTATTATTTTTTATTCTTTATTACTGCCTTTTTTAACAGAGCAACATAAAATAAAAGTTATATATATGTATATTATAAATTTGTTCACAATATATTTAATATTAATTTTAAAAGTAACAATTTCGTCCATTTACAAATGCTTTATAAATTGCAATGCAATAATGTATTTTGTTTTTAAATATATATATTATATATATTTTTTGATTACTATTTTATTTATGTATTTATAGTTATTTTATAACAAATTTTTTTTTGTTTTTGTTAAGTACAATTACTGAATTCTTTTATTATAATTATGTTTATTATGTTCTTTTTTAATGAAAATAGAAAAAATTATCCCGCTTAATTATTTCAGTTTTTATATAAGCTTCTACAGCTTTTGCATATATAGCCCATTCTTGAATACTTTTCCGTTTAGACAACAATTTTTAAATCTAAAATATTAAATAGTATATGCTTTTTCTTTGTGCTAATCTGTAAAAAATTTTAAATAAATAAATAAATATTGTATTTGGCTCAAAAACGAAAGTGTGTTTTTTTGTCATGTAAATTTTATAGTTCCTAAAGCAGATGAGTCAGAGTTCAAAAGTCGCGTGCCTACAACAAACAAGTGCTGCCTATTACTATTCCAATAAGAGTCTCCCAATGCATCTTGTATCTAAGCAATACTATCCCCTCCACACTACCGTCAACCAATCAAATTTTAACCCAGGTATATGTATTTGTATTTCGTTTAATGGTTCTCGGTCTCCTAGGGTTACAACAACAACAACTCCTATTTGATATTCACCCTTCACACGAAAAATGTACAAAATGGAATATATTAGGAATCGTAAAAAAATTCAAGAATGGCCGGGTCTATGACTAAGTGCCATTTACCATCACCAAAAGGGATCATACCAGCACGTATAGCCCTTTCTTTCCACCCCATTAAAGTGGCTGGGTTTGTCCATCTTGACCTAGGTTATTATTGACCTAGGTTGATTTCAATTAAAATCCCATCCATCCACAATACCATCAGATTGACAGATGTTTGGATTATAAGGTGGATGCATAAGAACGTTTCTGGGCGACTTGGCGATTGCTTCATTCAGACGGTCCGGTCCAATCGGAACAGTACAATTCCGAGTTAAGTGTTTTGCAGTAGGGGAGCAGCTCAAAGTATATCATTCCCTTTTAATCCCATAAAACACACTGCAACACTTTCCTGGTAGTCAATCCTGGCTTGGCCGTCATTTCAGCCAGCTCACGACGACTCGTCCACGACTTTCAGTGCTTTTTCTTAAATTATTAAACAAAGAATCGTATTTGACTTGTTACGGGACTTCTAACATGATTATTAATAAATTAACTAATATTCACATCATATATTCACTCTGATACATAAAAGATTTCTATTACCAAATAAATTTCTCAAAGGATTTCAGAAGCGTCGATCTATGAAAAGAAATGCATATTATCTTTTTATTCAAATCACATTTGCATTGAAATTTTTATTTATAGAGTTAGTAGACTAAATTCAAAAATTTTTTATTCATAAAATATATTTTCTATTGGTGACTTTAAATTTAAAAAATACGAAGTCTAAATTAGCAGTGAATGAATGAAAATGAGAAATAAACGATTCGGTAACTTCTTTAAATTTTTCAAAAAAAACAACACAAAATTAACTCCACTTGAACTGATTAAAAGTGGAGGGGAGATGTGGGTCAATCTAAAAGAGAGCGAGAAGGAAGAATTCTCTCCACATAAGCCTCAGTTTAATAATAGTGATGATTCGTTAGATGTTTTTTTTCCCGTTGAAGAAAATCTTACAAAAAGGGGAAGAAAGCGGAAGCGCGGAGAAAGGAAGGGAGCGGTAAACAAACGTCGCGCTAAGAAAAGGAAACTAGGCCGTCGTGGAGGGTAATTGAAAAGACAAAACAAAAACCGTGCAAAAAAACGTGGGAGACAACGTTGAGTTCTAGACAGGTCTGGACTATAAGGTGAATGTGTAAGAAGTTCCTAACCAAGCTCCCGGAGTTTTTGGCGCATCATTATCAATGTGTGTAGCCTGACGTTGTCCTGATAGTATACAATTCCTCTCCTACTGCCCTGTTTTAAAGGGCTTTCTGGCCGTTTTTGGAAACCACAATAACATTTTTATTAGTTTTATTTAAAATTTTTCGACGATAAATTACTTAAATAAATATATATGTATATATTTCAAGCAGTTATGAAGTTAATTCAATTTTGATCAGGAATTTTATTTCAATGGATCCGGGTTTTATTTGATACCATTCGGAAACAATACTTATGCATTTGTATTAAAAATTAGTTAATTTTTATTCTGGTTATAATTATTTGCTTTGTCCTAGTGAAAACGCATAGTTAAAAAATTTCATCAAATAAAGAAACTTTTTTATATATAAAAACAATTTTTGAACCTACCGTCACTGAAGTTTATACAACTGAGAAGGAATGCACAACCGATATATTTTTTTGCTTCAATTCTGAATTTCGCCCCGATGAAAACAAAAATTATTTCAGTATTGCCTTTTACTTTTAGTTACATCAACATTAAAATAATGTATTTCTTAATCAATATATTTAATACTTAATACAGTTATATATTAAGATATAGATAAATGATAATACTAGATAATACTCTAAATGGCGATATAAAGACTATAAAAATTAAAATGTATGAGAAGTGGAAAAACAGCGCGCGACTTAAAGGTCTATTCTTCCTCCACCTAAGATTATTTTAAATATGAAAATTGTAATTAAGACTACACAGATTTCTGGCCTTGTCACCAACACCTTTCTTTATAATTTGGTTCTTTTTTATAGTTTATGCAAAATGATGTGCTTTATCTAGAGCCAAAGCAGATTGCAGATTGTAAAATCACTTTAGCTGAGAAGAGTAGGTAGGCCGCTAAAGTGGAAGGAGGAATAAATCCTTTACAATTAACTAAAAAAGCTATTTTGATTTCACTATTTTGACTGTTCATATTAGAACCAACCAGATGCAGTGATAAAATCAAGTATCTAGCCAATACTAAAACCACCAAGTGTGTTAAAGGATGGAGCGGTCAATAGCTTAAACCTGCTTGTAGACAAGCCTCAACATAAACACAACACGTGCTCTAGTGTCTTCAGTTTAAATGCCTCTGAACATACACTACATAATGTACCACAGGGTAGTCCGAACCTAGCTGGGACGAGTTCTTTCAATCAAATTTTCTAAATAATAAATCAAGGAACAAAATTTCAATTTTTAAATATATATAAAGAAGAAAACATATTTTAGTAAAGTAAAATAAATTTAGAAAAATAATCGACTGGCTCTTCTGGTCCACTTTCATAATCAATAACTGCTAACCACGCTCATCTGTGCTTCACTGTTCAACAAGTTCAGATTTGGCAATAACTTAAGCAGTTAAAATGATGGCTAAATAAAAAAATGTATTAATGTAGCTAGAATTTTTATGACTTCAGACGAAATCTCTATACCAAATACTTAAGTATGTACATAAAATATTTCTATCATTTTTTTTTATATACATATATACAACAACAATACTACATACAACCGCATTTAATTACTTTTTAAATCCAATATCATATTTTGTTTTTCATTTTATTAACACTATGGATTACACATAGAAAAAAATACTTAATATATTACTGCTTTATGATTTAATTAAATATTTAAGTTTCATTCTTAAATTCCAAGTGTTTTTTCCATGACTCGCATTGGATTTCGATTATATTCGAAGAACTCAGGAACACCAATGAAATCGTCAAAATTAATTGCTTCGTCACGACCAAGTATAACATCCTCCATCATGTGGCTAAAACGAAAAGCACTTTTTCCATATATCATTTCTTGTTATAAGATGTTGGAATTACCTTGATTGCAAGAATGGCAAACGACCAATACGTTTGGCAGATTTTAGCTCCATATTAAGCTTGAGAACTTCAGCTAAGCCACCTTGATTTCGCAATACCATCATATTAACTGCGTGATCATCAAACTTAGCTTGAACATTTTGCAAATCATGTATTTGCTCCAATTGCATTAAACAATTTGGTTCGCTTGGCCCGCCGGGCTTACCTGTAACGTTGAGAGTAGTTGCACTTGATATTGGATCCTGTGACAAAAGCAAAATTGTTTAAAAATGTAAAGAATTTATAATAGCTTCCACAAACCATTTCAATTTTATTTAAAGTGCTTTTTTAAAGAATCCACAATAACCAATTCAACAGCCAATGACAAAACAATTTGTAATGATTTAAGTTAGATGTGCTCAGTTAAATGGTTTTGACAGTTTTGACGTTTCTTTTGGTTAAATAGTTCAGACGTTGCCACCTCGTTTACTATCAAAACATAATAAATGGGCGCATATATTATATATATATATTTAATTATTAAGGTTTTTTTTTTTTTGTTTTATATTAATTTTTATTCTCAATGATTTAAGAATTAGATAACTTTTTTAAACTCGTCTGTTCACGATTTTTTACACAATTTTGTTAAGCAGTAAGATATTACAAATTCCCAATAAAAAATTATTTTTCTTCATGTATATATTTAAGAAACATTCTTTATTTTTGTAATATATAGAATAATTCAGCTAGCGATTTTGGTTGGCTAAAATCAGAGTACTTATGATTTATAAAATGTATATAGCTTTGGAGTGACAACTGGTATATGAATGTTTTACAAACGTGCTTGATAACTCAGCAAATTCTGATAAAGGAGCTATTGACTTGAATAAAAAGTTGTATGAAAGTATAAATTTTACTTAAATTTTAATATTATTTTTTTTATTGTTACCATGCGTTTTATGTAAAACAAAACATTAGTAACTAAATCAATTACTTTGGCAGCTTACGATGCTTCGTCACCGTGACCAAATTAAAAACATTCCTCTTTTTCAATTTAATTCAATTCAATTTCAAACTATTTTATTTCCTTTTTGGTAGTTGACGTTTTGCAGTTGCAAAAAAAAAAGTTACCTTAACCGAGGATGTCTAAGATATTAGAAATATAATTTTTTTTGATAACTTATCAGATGTAATATGTCTGTCAGTATTAATGGCTGGTTTATTATATATTTCAAAATATGTAAATTATATATATATATGTGTGTATACACATATATTATATATTATATTATGTGTGTATACACATAAATAGAAGTATTCATAAAGTTAGTTTTTGAAAGACAAACTAATGTGAAATATATAATCTGAAGGTAAAAGAACCTTATTATTTTAAATGCGAATGTATTTATATGGCATATAGTGCATAGGTGTGTAAGTTATCTCAATTTCTTGAAATTAGTGCTGTTTTAAGCTGTTCATACCAAAACTTATATAAAAAATTATCATATGATATTTACGTAAATATATTTAACGTTAAGTTAAGTAAATACATTACGTTCTATTACGAGAATGAATTTAGTTGTGATTTCTAGTGTTTATAGATAGGAGAGAACATTTAATTGTTTGTGATTTTGGTTTATACAAGGATTCTTTGAAGCCATTATAAAAACAACGCCAAAAAGTATGCAAATAATAATGCGGTATGGGAAGTTAAAATCTATCTGATAGATTATGCTACGTTTGTACATTACATCCCAGTAATAAATCATGCAGTGCTCTTTTTCTGAAAAATCTGTACAGAATTATTTAAACATTCCTAAATTTTATAATTAATTCCATTAAATAAGGGAGCAGTTTATAATTGAATACCTGCAATGCGTCTTCTAGCTTCAAGCTGGAGGATCATGGTAGTGTTTTCTAAAGTAATGTTAAGACTATTCATAAGGCAATTAAGATTAAAGAGTATATTAGGTTGTTGTATAACGATGTGTATATATACTCGAATAGTCAAATTGCTATCAAATCACTCATAGGTGTAGAAACGTTCAATATCAGTGATGTTATCTCTTTCATTCTCTCTAAGTGAGAGATTTTAGATTTGTTTAGAAAATTAGATGATGATTTTTAATTATAGAGAATTTTTTACTTTCTAAGATATACAACAGCATCATTTTTATATACCCAAAATAATTTTTATATTTTAATAACTACTTCTAAATCTTTTTAATTTCAGAAAATAGTTTTATATTCACAACGAAAATGTAGGAACTTTAAAAGATAATAAAACAGTAGTAGACGAGGAGAATGAAATGATATGATGCACTTAAAAATCAAAAATAGTTTAACTTTTATATCTTTCCTATCACATAATAGATATGAAACTAATACACAGCATATAACAGTTATCTAATAACACTTTTTTGTGTTTTGTATTTTTATACCATCGTCAGGCATCTCCTAAATCAGTTCTTGCTAAAAGCAGATATTTGTAAAATAATGAACAAATACTCCTGGTACGGTAAAGTTTTTTGTAAACCAGTACATCCCGCTGTGTTTCTAGAAGTAGCGAGAGTCCTTTGTCAGCGAAGTCGCAACTGCAACTATTAGTTTGGGTTCTTTTCAGAAAAATTATTTCGGCGATATATGGTTTCACAGTACTTCTCTATCTATTTAAGTAGAGCGCTTTTCAACTTAACAGGATTAAGTTTTTCTGAGTAGAAGACTTTTGATTTGTATTCCATATCCTCGGGAATAGGTGTAGTATTGTAAAATATACTGTTTAATGAATAGTGTGGGTTTGTTTAAGAAATGGGCATATTCATTCCGATAAATCATTTAACACTGACACATATCTAAAATGGCATGTTAAACTTTAAGTTCTAATGCTGTCTAAACGTGTTTATAGTTTTTAAAATATTTATTTATTCGTTTATATATACATACTTCATCGCTTCAAAAGTATTTCTCTTCTGAGAAAGCACGCATCATTGAACTGAATTACCTATAGTTTCACCTCCTCAATCGTGTCGAAATGATATCCACAGAGCGGTCTCTTCGATTTGATCTAAGTCCAATGCAATGTGAGATTGTCCATTATCGTGATCCATCATTGTGGAATTATTTAATAAATAACTCTTAATATAATTATTGCACAATACTCAAATAATATTCCTTGTTAACAGTTTGATTACACAGAAGGAATTTATACCTACTATGATAAACGAAGGTAGATTTATTGGTCGGTTGTTTTTAGGTCGTTTGCACAGATCGAAGAGTCAAAGGCAGTTATCATGCATTTCATCTTATTTAGTCTTAAAGTATTGCTTGGCATAATTTAATGCCATGTCGTTTTTCCAAAAAATATAGTGCTTTTGATACCAAACGAGATTTTACTCTCTTTAGGCACAATACTTCGTTTAAAACATTCTGCATTGATTCAAATTAAATGTTTACAGTTTCATTGAGGTCTCTATTTGTTAACCGATGGTTTTTGAGCTGTAAATGATTTCTTTAAACTGTGCCTTAACACCTGTCCTCTGATTTATTATTCTCTTTTCTATAATAGTGGCTAGAGTAACCGCCTACATAGAGTTTACTTTTGAATAACCCATTTAATCTAGTTGTTCTAACTTTATTCACAATTACCTATCTTTAAACTCTTACAAAATTATTCTTTATGGCTTAGATATACTTCAAAAATTATAAGCCTCTTGATCATCTACTTCATTTCTTTCCCTAGATGAAACTCTCAGTCCCGGATCTGCACGATACCCTGCTCGGAATCTATTCTCTATGCATTCCTAAGAGGTGGTTTTAGTAGGTTTAATCTATTGTAAAAAAATAAATAGCTTCAGTGAGGGCTCTAATTGTCTTAAAAAAATAATTCCAGTGAGGGCTCTATTTGAGCTGTAAATGATTTTTTTTTTCATGTTGTTCTTTAGTTGACGTTGTTGATCGTCCAGGGCGATACTTGTCTTCAATCTTTTTTCTGCCTTTTGTGAGTTAGAGAATAGGTTTCTGCAACATTTTTTAACTTTCACAAAACACCTATGTTATTATTGAACAAATTGGGACCAATAGATAGGGATATGAGATTTGATACAGATGTCAATTAAAATACAACAACAAACCTTAACTTTCTTTATCAATGCTCATCTTTGGCTGTTTATTATTATTGTTAAGGGATGTGGCACTGCGACCGTCAGGTCTATTATGCTCCCTTCTGGGTTCAGAGTAGGTTTCTAAGCCCTCAATAAAAAGTAGTATAGAACCTCCTTCACAGAGTTTTCCTTTTTCCTCTTCCAAAAGAATACACATTCCCAGGAGTCTATTCCATTTGTGCATTATCGCAGGGCATTCTAATAGTACATGTGTGGCCGACTTACTACTCTCTTCGCAGTATCTACTGTTTGCATCCGTATGTATGCCTTTTTGGCTCACAGGCAATAAAAATTTTTTGATTGGGTCAGTGTCACTTGAATGGGACAGACCTGCTTCTCAGCATGCTCATGTTGACTTTTGTGTAGAAGGCCGCCACTCCAATCTAACCCAACTACCAACCTAAGACACAGAGTTGTGAAAATCCAATAATTTGCGTATGTTAAATGAATAATTTCACTCTATTTTTTGATAACAGAATGCAGGCAGTTGACTGTTTAATTCAAAGGAGGGGTAGGGACTATGATATGGTTTCCAGCTATTTAGTAATGCTAGTGCGTCAAATATTGAAATTATCCAAAGAGCTCAGTCAAAAATACTGAGAACAATCACTGGTGCCCATGGTATGTTAGGAATTAAAGTATCAAACTAGGATCTACAAATTCCCTTAGTTGAAACTGAATTTGACAATATAAGAAAAAAATACAATAAAAGCCTGACAGAATATGTTAACTTTTTAGCAAGGAATCTAGCACTTCTATCCCTAGAGCTGACCGTCCAGTCATTAATTAATATTCAATAGCTTCAAGTAAAAATCCCATTCTTCTTTTTAGTAAAATCTGATAAAGTTTAACTTCTGTCTTAATAAACCACCTAACATTCACTGTAATGAAACTTGATCCATTGATCTAAGTGAGGTCTGTGATATAAAAATTATGTTGAAGCTGTTTTGAGCTAGTGTACCTAAGCACTTATACTCTTTTTTAACTCGAGGTATTTTCAAAACCCCTCTTTGCACCTTGACTAGATTATTGTTTATCACTTCATCAGACTAAGCAATAATTGATATAAGGTTTACTTATTTTATTTTAGGTATACAATGTATAGTTAAAATAAAAATTGTAATATTATGTATTAAGTGATAAGATTTTAAAACTTACTTTACACAATAAATAAATGTATAAGTATTAACAAAAAAAAATATACTTAGATCTCTTACCTTTTATATTTTTACTCTTATATATTTTTATATATATATTCTTTGCATCTATCATAA